AAATGAAAAATCATCATCAACATCGGAGGACTTTTACCAACACTTGATTTTGTTAGTAGTAGCAATAAATGAGTGTTTAAATTAATTTAAATCAAACTGGTTTAAAACATATGACACATAACAAATGGCACCAGAGCCTCACTTTTGGCCTCTTAAAAAACTAAATGCTGTACACAAATAATGCAGATGTTAGATAAAACATAATATTATATCATTATTGAGACCAAACATTTGTATTTGTTTTATATTTGTAACATAATACAAAGTTGCTGTAATTTATATTCAGTAAAAACTTTTTTCCAGTAGTTTACGTTGTAAAGACTCTAACATGTTTTTGTTTTTAATCTGTTTATTTGCGATCATTTGTGAGTGTAGGTAAATATTTTATAAACTTTTAAAAAATCCAGTTACAGCTGGTTTAATCCTGTCCTTTTTCTGGCCGATTTCTACAGAAACCTTTAACATCATGTCAACTGCCAGGATTCAAAATCATTCTAGAACATACCAGGATTTAGTGTTATTTCCTTAACTAATGTCTTTTTATTGCCTATGTCAACTAAATCTAATTTGATCCACCCTTTATGTAATTAATGATATAATTCCTGTCTTTAATATTCCAGATCTCACCTCTTCCGCTGTTACATCCCAGACCACTAGCATTCCCAATCCGATCCATTCTGGCTCCGAAGCAGCTGGAGGTCATCCTCCTGCTCATCAGCAGGTCCTGCAGACGGCTCCTCTGACTCAGAGGCCTGCCTCGACCTTCTGCCTGAGGTGGAGGTCTTTCTGATTTCAACAGATCTTCATCAACTTCCCGGTCCAAGCCCCATCCCTGGTTGGCCTGGCTGCGCTCCGACTGTTGGTTTGTTCCTTCATAATCTGCGTCTGGAGCGTCTTCTTCCTGCACTGCCTCGGCCAGAGTCTCCTCAAAACGCTGCAACAACGACTGACGAGGAAATGACGTTAAAAGAAGGTTAAAACACAGACTTTCCTGAATTCAACAACGCCTTTAGAAGTGACAACATTTTTACAATGACAATTATAACCATATATATATAGTATATACACATATATATATATAGGACTTGGTGGCTAGAAATTACTGAAAAAATATATGAATTAAAAATAGTTTCAAGTGTAAATAAGATTGTTTTTAATACCCTAGTAATATGTTAGATTAGAGTTCATTTAGCTTTAAATTATAAATGGAAAAATAATGTGTGTTTGTATTTTAAATATAAGAATGAATTTAGTCTCATAGTATTTTCTGGGAACTGGGAAATTTTATTTTATTTTATTTTAGCTTTGGCTAACAATCCCTGCAGGTTTATAGGATTTCTAGGTTACATTTTGTCATCTTTTAGTTAAAGTAAATTAATTAAAAAGCAAATTAAATTTTTTCTGAAGTTATGTTCACTATATGTTATTCACTAATGGTGGTATTCCTGGCTTCCATGCACAGGGTCTAGGGTTTGATTCTTTGTACAGATGACTGCTGTCTCACCAAGTCATGATGATACAAGTATAAAATGTTAGTATAAAAACCTGTATCTAAATTTAATTTAAACGAACGCACTTGTTACCAGGGGTTCTTACCTTGAGTTGACCAAGGTCACTGGTAGAAGAGGCCCGTCCCAGTGCGTGGCTGCTGACCAGTGTGCTGTGACACATCAGGCCCAACAGAGCCCACAGAACCACGCTCCTCATGTTATCCCTCTAGTGGGCCGACTGATCATACAGGCTGCCCTGCAAAATTTATACTTACAGTACATTCACACACACACACACACACACACACACACACACACACACACACACACACACACACACACACACACACACACACACACACACACACACACACACACACACACACACACACACACACACACACACACACACACACACACATTGTCAGTGGCATCAAATTGTAGAAAACCTTAAGAGCATTCTGACACCTCTGTGTGATAAGGCAGCTGGTCATATGTCCTGTGAAGTGGTGCATGAGGGTGAGTGAATGTGGCTGGATGGATGGGTGTGTGAGTGGAGGTGTGTGTCGATGTGGGGGTGTATACACCCATGATGACCAGATGCCATGGCATCTCCATGACCTCAGAAGCCGTGTTAAAGGTCTGAGCTCAGACCGTCTGCCCTCCAGGGCTGACAGAAAGACCTTTGATTGGTGGTTCTTATTGTTAATATTGGTTCAGGAAAGTATCTGTGTTTCAACTAAGCAGAGAATATGGTCTACAGGTTGATACTGGACCAGACGTGGGCAAACTTTTTGACTAGTGGGCCACAGTGGGGGGCCGGGTCAGGAGCAGATAGATGGAGCGTTTGGGTGAACTAAGATAAACGACATGTAAAAGTCATGCATAAAGGCTGAAATGGTAAAATGTTTTAATCATTTTCTATGTCATCTATTGGGGAGATGCGGGTGTTGCATGGAAAGGCAGAACTATAATAATAATATAAATAAATTATATAATTAAAAAAGTTTGGAGGATTAAAAAGCCGAACGGTCCGGATCCGGCCCCCGGGCCTTATGCCTGTACCAGACGGTCACATGTCTGCAGGGCACAAGGGTCCATTATGTTTATTGACAGACCCTAGTGGTCGCCTGTTGATTGGCTAAATTGATATTAACTTTAACATGAAAGTATTTATTCAGTGTAGATGCAGTTCTCAGATCGTCCACATGCTGCCAGTAAAATCAAAGGGAACCGACGTCCCAGCAAAATCAGGCCTATGGCCCAGAATGCTCATTTTTCTCAGTCTAAATTCTTAAATTATTCCAAACTGATTCAATGTTTATTGTGAGCAAAGAAATATGTTTTTCATAAAAAGAGATTTAATAAACCTGACTTTTTACATTCTTATCATCATAAAAACTAAGTGCAAATAGAATAATATCAAAGGAAAATGTTATGCCGTGACTTTGTTTTATATTTTTAAATGTGTTGTTTACTCTGCTTCAACACACTGAAATACTTGTCTGTCACTTGTCAAAGAGTATGTCAAAAAGAAAAATAAGAACTGTCTACAATCTGTAGTCAGGGCAGACAGGTCCCGACTCAGTGGACAAATTGATAGCATATGCAGTCATGATGCAAAAGAACTGATTTGTTGCTAAGGGTGATCGAAACGTAAGAATCATATGACCTTAAATGATACATTCTAATGATAAGCATCATGGATTAAGTTGTGCAAATGAGTGACAGTCAAGGCAGAGCCCTACAAAGACATATACACGTGTGTGTGTTTTGTAGTTAAAGTCTCAAACTTCAGTTGGTGCGCTGACGTAAACCTTTATTAAAACATAATGCAGAACAACAATCTTACAATCATTTCAAGTACATATATGGTAAGCGACAAAAAAGATTTTTAATAAATATTGGTTAATAAATAATATTCAGGTAAAAATATCCTCTACAGAAGTGTCCCAGTTCCAGAAAATAGGCGGTAAGACTTCATCTTTACTTTGTATCTGTGAGGGAAGAAAAGACAGTCAGTCAGTGAGAGGAATGATATTTATCCAACCATTCATACTGACCATCACTCATTTCACTGTGTTCTTCCTTTAAAGCTTGTCTTAATGTCATTCAAACTTACTGTATCTGCCCACAGTGTTGCAGCCCAGAGAGCTCATGGAGCCTATTCTGTCCATCCTACGTCCAAAGCAGCCGGAGGATCTCCTGGTGGAGTCGTTACGGACGTTCTTCAGGTTCTTGGCTGAAAAAAATTCCCTAATGGCGGCCTCGTCCAGTCCAGTTTGGGGCTGCTGCTGCTGCTCCTCTGTCACTTCTTCTGCAGCCACTCTGTCCAGACCGTCCTGGTCTACAGGGGCTCTCTGGTCCACTTCAGACTGCAGTGAAACAGACTCCTGAAGTTTGTGGAGCAGCACCTGTCAAAGCCACAAAATCATACGTCGGTTTAGCATTTCAAGGCTGTTTGTCAACTCTTAGTCTCAGCTACAAATTAATATTGAGATGTCAAAAGCTGCTGGAAATCCAGGCTCACCTTGAAGATGTCCATGTCAGTGTCTGATAGCCCAGTGGTGATGGGATGCGAGACGGACAGCTGCAGGTTTAGGATGAGGAGCCCGCAGATGGGAATAAGAGACAGATGCATGTTTGTCCTAAGTCCTCCTGGTGGTTGAGTCTTTAGAAGATGGGAGGCTTTTATTTGTTCCTTGGTAGATGTTTGGATGCTACAGAGCACAGCAGCAGCCCTTTTATACTGAAGCCTGACACAAATCGGTATGCCAGGAATTGTACTGACATTCCTGACACCTGATTCTGATAACAGGAGCTGTTGGAAACTGCTCCTTTTAAAGTGTTGTCTCTCAGATATAGGGCATTCCTATGACATATCTGCTTCCTTTTGCTACTTTGTTTCTCAAACATACTCCAGCACCCGGCTCACACCACGTGTGTTGTCACCGAGCTACGGGAAGTAGTAAAGGAACAGTCGTAGACAGCTGCTAAATTTAACGGTGTACGTGATTGTGGTGGGGTAGCCTTCAATAGGAAGGATCTGATTCTCACCACCGTGCTGCTAACAGGTGCTAACAATTAAAAACTATCAATTATTATCATGACGTAATTCAGTGTTTATCAGGTACAATTTGTAGTCGAAAACCTAAAGACGCAACAAGTTGACGTGTTCATGGTTTCTTGGCCCTTCGTCGTTTGTTTATTCCAAACAACACACTGAGACACTCCAGATCAACACAGGTCCATCAGATGGAAAGACACAAACTCACGTTTGATCCATGCTGCTGAGGAACTGTTACTGTATAGGATAAAGTTCAAATTCTGTTCAGGAACTTTATTTCATAATGTGTCTCCATACGTGGAACCGCTCAGGCGTTTCTCCAATCATCCTGTATTCAAGGGTGTGTTGAACTTTTTCTAATTAACACTAAAGTGACACAACCATCAAAAGAAAAATGCAGGTGTTTTTATTCATCTTCTTCTTAACTTTATCTTTTCAGGGTCGTGAGAGGTACGGAGAGATGAGGAGGTGTTGGTCGGACGATCCTGAAGACGATCGTTGAACAAGGTGAGTACAAGGCATGGTAAAGACTGATGTCAATCCTTCAGTTTCATGCAATTCCATGCATTCCAACAAATCCACTGTCATTTCTATTGGTGCCACTAAAATGGCAGCAGAAATCAAATGAGCCAAATTATCTCTGAAAGTTTTATTTAATTGATTTCACCCAGCATTCTACATCCAGCCATCACTGAACCGACCTGCCCGCCAAAGTATGAACCTCATTTTGGCCCGTGAACCCTGTCCTAGACGGTTCTTTGGTCCATCACAAGTAGAAACAAAGAGTCTAAGGTAAGGACACTGGCCACTCTCCCACTGCGTACCCTTTAGGTGTCTATTTATTTTCTCTTTGTAAAGATGATGTGCTATTTTAAAATCGAATTCAGGAACTAGAACCATTCTGGAACTGTACCAGTTTATTGATATGCTACTGTTGGTCCAGTTTCCTAATGAACTCAGCATGGGGATTGAAACTGTGCGTATGATGGTGGAATACTGTACGGTTCTGCAGTCGCTGTACATTAAGTCTCTTGCAGCCAGAACCAGACCATGTCAGACCATAGATAGTGTGTGTTCCAGTAAAGAGTTAACGGTCTACCTGGGCTTGACTGATTGCAGCAGGCCTTTTTTTATTCATGATCTAAGATTTTTCATACATCTGGGCCAAATACTCATGGTGCACAAGTTGGGTTCTTCACAATTTTCACCGAATTAGTGTCAGAATATAACAGTCAGAATAAGTGATGATACCACTTATGTATTGTGGGGTTGTTTTTTTACTGTGTAATGATGTGTCTTATCATTTGTTCATTCAGTATTCATGTAAGCTGTGACAAACAAAATGGACGCAGACTCTGCCTTTATGCAAAATAATTGTTTTACTAGAATATTACAGTGCATACCAACAGGAAAATAACAAAAAAATAAATAAATAACTTTACAATAATTTATTGTATATTATATATTTAACAGTCAACAGGATGAACAAATGAGATATCACAGTTCTGAATGAGAACCAGCTAAAGAACAGGAGTCAAAGACAGGAGTGAGACTGTAACAGAAGCGCCAGTGCGGCTTGATGAGACCCAGGATTTCTATCCACGCCTGTAGAGAGAACAAAAACACATCAGTGCCAAAGATTCTGGAGGAGTTTAGAAATATCAAACACAGAACAAAAACACATCAGTGCCAAAGATTCTGGAGGAGTTTAGAAATATCAAACACAGACACAAGGGCTGCTGCTGCTGCTGCTGCTGCGGAGCTGCTGCTGCTGCTGCGGAGCTGCAGGGAGTCTACTGTTGTGAAATGAACCAGAGACTCTCCTCCTGCTCTGATATGAGCCATTAACAGCATCAATGTTTGAACCCCATTTGTTCTGTCCGCAGGAAGGGACTGGTGCCTTTAGCTGTTGTCACTTTTAAATGGAGCCCTATTTAAACTGTTCATATTCTGAAATGTAAATTAGGATTTTTAATTTTATTTTCCATTTATTTCAACCTAATTTGAGCTCATATACATAACCATCCTTCTTGTTTACCTCTCTAAAGACTAGGGGTTTTAATATATTTTTCAATCTTAATTAATTATTCTTCTCTTGTTTTTCTTTTGGTTTTTACTAAGGAAGGTTTCTATTGCTTTATTAATGGTTTAAAATTAAAACTCCTTCATATGTCATCATTTACCATCTTGACTGAAGATTATAGATCTGTACAATCTGTACAATACAATCTTTTTTTTTAAATAAATAGATCATTTGCTTTGACCAAAAAATGTAATTCGATTGTTAAGATTATCGTACAGTAGTTCTAATAATAGTAATAATAATGAGAAATAGAATTTTTAGTTAGTTTTTCAATTAATCAGCAGCATTCAAGCCACATATCTTTACCAAAAAAGTCCAAATGAAAATTGTACATTTGATTTGATCGATTTCTTTATCTTATTTATTTCTTTATTAACAATTTCATTATGGTTTTTTTTATATGGTAGTATGATTAGTTCGACTTACTCTCAGCATCCCAGCCCGCTGAAGGAGCCGATCCTCTCCAGGCGGACACCGAAGCAGCTCCTCAGTCCTCCCTTCTTGTACCGGCTGGAGGCGCGCTTGGAGGTTCTCATCAGGTCCTTCAGCAGCCGGGTCAGGACGTTTTCTTCAGTGGTCAGTGCAGAGTTGCTGGGGTCTGAGGGTCCCAAGTCCCAGGTGTGTTTCTCTGGAGCTCCAAACTCCGACTTGTTACCATCCCTTGCTTCTCCCTCCATCTCCTCAGAAGGATAATAATGTGCGGTGTTCAGGTCCTCCAGGAGCTGCTTCAAACTCTGTGATTCAGGGATGAAAGAGAAAAATAAAGTTATTTCTGGGCACAACGACATAACGATTCACCTCGCACACTTATTCCTGAATCTTACGCGCACACCACCTTCACGACTCACCTGTAGATCAGAGGCTGCCCTGGCTCCAACCACATGGAGCAGTAAAAGTAAAGAGAAACAGCAAAGAGACACGTTGGACTTCATACTCTTTCAGAAGAATTCCCCGGTCTTTCCCAGAGCAGCTAAGATCGTCTCTCTGCGTCCGGCTCTGTTCGTCTCTGTCGCTGCAGCCGTGCGCAGGTGCCGCGTTTATACTCGACCTGATTCCGTCACTGTGTTGAGAAAATTAACGAAGCTTGATGAAGGTACGTGGGCGCGCGTGCGCTGACCTGACCGCGGGGGGTGCTCACTCCAAGCTCCGGTGAAGCTGTTTCCAGATTTACCTGGAAGTTTAGTCATAAATGTTGTTTATTGTGTGTCAACAGTCAGGAGGTTCCCCTTCAGAGGGAGTTTGTTCTTCCTGTTGTGACTGAAAGTGCACCAAAATGTGACTCTGGGCTCACGGCTTTTGCTTCAAGATCCACTGAACCTTGTGTAAAACACTGTCATTCCAAGAAAACATGCCATTATCTTTGAAAAAGTGTGAAAATTGTTGCAAATTTATTTGCTGGCCTCCCCCTCTCACTTAGAACCACTGTCATATGATAACACTGGTTTGGACATGTAGCAGAGATAATAGTCGCTGTTGGATATTGAGCAGCCTGGAATAAGATAAAGACGCAAAAACCTTAGAGCAGATTCAGGTGTGCAGTGATGGAGAATATAGGCTGGTTGGCTGGCAGGAGTGAAAGGAAGACAGATGATGTGACGTCTGAACATATGTTTATACATCCATATGTTGGCTGAGAGAACATCATAGTCAGATCTGACAACTACACCTCAAAATACCTGCAGTGGCCCTTTAAAGTATTGGTAAGAACAGAACCCCCTGGTCACGGGGAGACCCCACACAGGTGAATGTGCAGGTGATAAAACTGAATGTCATTGTGTGGTGTGTATGTAAGTGTGTTTACTGTGTTTACTGTGCTGTCCTCCTGTCATTGACCCCGCAGAAGATCAAATGATGAGCGATTAGCCCTGGACCCCGTGAAGCACAGGGGCCGGTGTGTAGGTGGGCGACGGCTAATTGACATTTCACCAGCTCTTCAACTGGAGGGCCGTCATGTGAAATTGGCTCAGGTCTCAGGATGGCAGTGAATGCGGCAGCGAGACCCCCGCACCCCCCGCCCAACAGAGATGTGATACGGAGGGAGACAGATGTGTGGCTGCTATGTGTGGCTGCTGCAGCTGATGATGATGATGATGATGATGATGATGATGATGATGATGATGATGAAGAAGTTTCAGACATTTCTGCAGATTCATCCCAGCTCATGTAGCCAAGGTATTGTTACTTATTTACATCTCGCAGCCATGTCATCGACGCTGTGATGACGTGAGCTCTTCAACTTTTAGCTGAAACAGAGCCGAAGATAAACATGACATACTGTATGTGTGAAGGTGGTCCGTTTCAGCTTCAATGATTTACCCTCGTTAAACATTCCCTCTACAAAAAGTTCTAGATTGCAACACAACAATATGACATAGCTCCACCATTTGAATTGAAACAAAACCTTCTCATCTCTAGTTCCATACTGATCTGTTCAAGTAAACAGGATCTCAGAATTCCCAGAAGAATCAGATCATATGTCTGGTTAGTTAGCGGTGTCCAGCTAACCTCCATCCTGACTCACTCGACCAGCCGTTCCCTTTTTCTTTCTTTTTTTTTGGCGACACACCTCCAACATCCCAACCGTGTTGACGCACCCCAATTCCCCACACTTTTGAAAAAAGAAAACACACTTAAAAAATACTCCAAACTACTATCATATTTTTTATCTCGCCACCTAGTGGCAGCTCGCCCGACGGGTGACAATAAATTCCATCACACCTTTTTACAGCTCTGAAGTAAATAAATAAAAGAAACAATATAATTCCACATTTCTAAATCAGGATCAGACTCCTCCTAATCTGACACTGATATAATGTAAAATACAGTACAAGTTTTAATGTTGTAAATACTGGAAAACAACAACAATAGAAATCCATAGAAAACCAGAAAAGAAACGATGGTTCAATCACGTCCATGATGAGTAATAACTGCTGCTTAGCTCTGTGGTGCTACTGCCTAGTGCATGAGCTGTGCTAATGTTATGTTACAGAATATAATAGCAGTATACAGTTTAGTTGACATGTTGTAAATTAGCCCTGCAGGTTACAGCTCCAGCAGGACCCGTCTGTTCATATATATGCTGGGTTTAATGGCTGACATTTATAAACCACTTAACTGTCACAGTGATGAAGAACGGCCGGCCCACCATCGCACTGGTTCCCCTCCATTAAAGGCCTTAATTACAACATAAGAGCCTCATCATCTAAATGATGGCATTTGCTGAACTGAGACAAAGGGCTGTGAACTGAGAGGCTTCACTGATGTCACTACTGTATGTCAGACGACACAGCAGGGACTTCGTTTTAGGAGGAACTCCCCCATAAAGTGACTAGGACTGTTACATCACTGAAGAAACTGCCTGTACAGGAAACCGTTTTTGGATGTTTCTAACTCTCTTTTTTAGATTGTTCAAACTTTTTCAAACAAACTTTTTCTTCCGGTGACTTGAACTCTGATTTAGAGCCCTGGTAACTGGACAGGGAGACGACTGTGGACGTCTCCCTGTCTCTCTGACCTGGACTTGGACTCACCCTCAATACATTAAGCCCAAAGGGTTTAACAGAAACTCTTAGTAGGGAACTTGGACTCCAAACCACTTGGAACTCAACCTCTACTTTTTCTTAGTGGCCTGAGAACTCACCCAGAACCCTGTGCCTCATGTTCTGAGATGTAACTCCAGCACTCAGGTCTGGACTCTAGGGTTTCTTCTTTGACTTCAACACTAATA